CAAAGGCCCACACTGCTCATCCAGTTCCAACTCCCTGCTGTGTGCAGGTCGCCAACCAGCAGCCCAGGCTGCCCAGAGCCACATCCAGCCTGGCCTTCAATGCCTGCAGGGATGGGGCATCCACAGCCTCCTTGGGCAACCTGTTCCAGTGCCTCACCACCCTCTGGCTGAAAAACTTCCTCCTCATATCCAACCTAAACCTCCCCTGTCTCACTTTAAAACCATTCCCTTGTCCTATCACCATCCACCCTCACAAACAGCCGTTCCTCCTCCTGTGAACAAGTGAACAAGTATTTTAAAACTGCAATACCAAATTGTTAATTGTCTCGCTCTGCTACTGGAAATAGATCCATATTCCTTCATAGTTGTCAGACTCAAGAGCAACTGATCCCAAACTTTCTTAGTACTCTATTGGGTGCTCAGACCCCCTGCAAGCAGAAAAGCTTCCTGTGGCAGCAGCAGGGCTGGTATCAGAGCAGTGTGGGCAGAACCTCTTCTCCTCCCTCACCAGAAGCACTCAGCCCCATGCTGTGCTGCCAGCCCTCACAGAACAGCCCCAGGACAGGCTGCTCCTGCAGCACACCGCGAGGCAGGGAGAGGTCATTGCCAGCACCCACACTCACCTCAGCAGGAGCCAGGAGAGCCTCCTTCCCTGAGCCAGATCGAGGCCCTGGGTGGAAGTCAAGCATTTCAGATACCGACGCCTTCAAGCCCAGCAGCATCCCACTCTTACTCTCTGCAGACTGATGAGCACTGATGTCCCCAGCTGGTTTTTTACGTGGTACAGAAGAGACCGAAGGCAACGTTGTGAGTAACTCAGCGTTTTCCTGTTCTGCCCTGGAGCAATGTGATGCCATGCCCTTCTCATTGCTGACACTTGTTTCCTCCCCGCTGGAGTCACTCAGGACAATAATTCGGGATGGCTTCTTCTGCCCTGGCACTGAGCAATTCTGTTCCATCTTGGCCCTGTGGAGTTTTTTTCTTCGCCGAGTGAGGTACTGCTGTCTTCCATCACCAAAGCTCTCATTATTTAAGAGATCAAAGTTAATGCACATCTCCTCCTCCTCACTCGATCCGCTTTTTTTGTACATCTCCTCATCCCCCTCTGCAACACAGAAGCTGTCTTCTGCATAGGTCTCGTCTTGCTCAGGGATCTGTGGGGGGAGAAAAACAAACCTGGTGAGAATGAAGAAATGCAACTTTGCTCTTCCTCACAGAGCCCCTGAGCTTCTCACACATCCACATAAGATTTTATTGGCTCAGGCTGGATATTAGGAACTATTTATTCTCTGGAAGAGCAGTGCTGCATTGGCACAGCTGCCCTGGAAGTGGTGGGTCACCATCCCAAGGGTGCTCCAGAAGATGGAGACGTGGGAACTGGGCATGGTGGGGTGGGGTTGAACCCACCTGGTGATCTTGGAGGCCTTTCCAGCCTTAATGATTCTATGATTTGTCAGCAGAAAGCTTTCAGGGAGTATCAACTGTAAGCAAGACTCACTAGCTAATAATACCACTGAAGAGGTTTGTGCTGCAGGCAGGAATATCATACTGCACAGGGCTGCAGGTTAATGCCACAGAAGCACACTCAGGACACGCTGGGTTTGCAGGAAAACTAGGCAGACTGTGCACACAGCACTACCATACAACATCAGCTCTGCACACACACAACTCGCTGACAGAAACACTTTATGGTGCCTTAACAATTTTAAAAAGGAAATGGAAGTTCAACTTTGCATCTTCAGTAGCACCCTGCCTCTGTGTGAACAACAAAGCCGACACTGTAAGCCCATGCTGGTTGGAAATTGAATTGCATGAGTTCTTGTCTGCTTGCAAATCATCAGTCAGTACAAGCTGAGTTTTTGTTCATCACCACCACTACCACTAAAGTAGTTTGTTCTCTTCATCAGTACAGACCTCAGTTTTGTTTTGCCAAAGATGAGATACAGACAGGAGTATGGGAAAAATAAATAAACTTTGGGGTGGGGAGTGGTAAGAAACCATCCCAAGCAGCCATTTTTCCAGTTCTGTGATATACTTGGTCTCTATGAAATAGAGGGAAAATTAAAGACTAAATAACAAAAGTGATTTGCCGTGTGATGTACAAAGGGTGCAGAACAGAACAGAACTGAATAGACAGTGCACATAGGACACGTCTCCAAATTATAAATGTGATAATATTTATATATTATAAATGCATAAATGTGAGCGTGCAGCAGGGCAGGAACCCACCTGGGGATCAGCTCTGGGGCTGCTCGTGCTCAGGACACAACGTGGCCTCCCAGGGCCACACAAGGGCTCAGGCTGCTGGAGGGCTGAGCAGCAGCAATGAGCATGGCAGTGAGAGAGAAGGCATGCTGCTTCATCTCCTCATTCTTTATCATCTGTATCTGGGGAGCTAACCTTGTCTCTTAGATACGCTGGCACCTATAGCTGGCTTGCCTGGATAGTGCAGGGCATACAGCTGGGTAGCAGCAACCCAAAGTGCTACACTTCTATTTGGGGCTGCTTCTTCCTGAGAATTCAGTACAGGACAGGAAACATCACGTGCAGAGTGAGAGTGGGCTTCTTGGGAGGTGCCAGAGGAGGACAAAGGGAGCAGAGAGGGAAGGTAAGCTGGTGGGCCTGGAGGAATCTCATGAGCCCTATGTGGCTCAGCAGTGATGACCACAACTCCTGCACTGGGATGGACGCAGAGCACAGGGCTGCTTTTGCTTCACACTGCTGACAGCTTCACTGCAGCCAATGGAACGTGTGTGCTTCTATCACAGAGCTTCTGCATGCTTTCAACTTGAAAATCAAAATGATGTCAAAAATCTTTTGTTAGGACTTGCTATTTAGCAACAATAGGCTGCAAACAAGGTAGGACTGGGACTGAAATGCTGCCACAAGTAACCAAACCTCACACAGACAGCAACTGTTTGGCTCCATACCTGTGAGAAAATCTCAGTGCTGTTGAATTCCCGATGCACCATTTTGTATCTGTTCCCCAGGGCTGGGCTGCGCACGGACTTCAGGTAAACACCTCTCATCTCAGAGTCTGAATTAAACACAGACATTACAATACTATTAAGGATACATTTTTTCTTTCATTCTTTTGATAACTTCTTTTCCATGAGCCATTCCTTACAGCCTCACAGAATCACAGAACGGCCAGGGTTGGAAGGGACCTCAAGGATCATGAATCTCCAACCCCCTGCCACACGCAGGGCCACCAACCTCCTCAGTTAATGCTAGACCAGGCTGCCCAGGGCCCCATCCAACCTGGCCTTGAACACCTCCAGGGATGGGGCCTCCTACATCTGAAGCTCTCCACACACCCCCAAAGATCCCCCCAGAGCTCAGCAGCATTGTGCCCAGCCTGCACTTCAGGAGAGCTGCCCGAGTTAGAGAGATGCGTCCCTGCCTACAGCATGGGGTTGGAACTACACGGTCTTAAATGCCTCTTCCAACCCAAACCATTCTTTGATTCTAGGATTTCAGAGATTTCAGTGGAGGAGGAAAATCCTCAACAACATCAGGGAATCTCTTAAATGGCAACAGGACAATTCCAGCATGCAAATATCCTAGGGAGAGACGAGGTTTAGAACCACAGGGAGAAGTGAATCTTGGCCAAAACCAGCATCATCTGAGCTCTGTCACTGCCAACATCACTGTTTATGTTTAACATTGGTACTGCTATTTCACATCATGTTATAGACCTCTCTGTACAAGAAGACCTGCAACTTCAGAACTTTCTAAGTGAAATAGGAAATTCTGCTTCCATTTGTTCGTAATGTTGTAGGAAGGGTTGGCTGACTCACAGTCAGAGAACTGCAGCCTTAAAATACCCATTTTCCACTTTGCACCAAGCAATTGCACAGCAGAGATTCCTGTGAAGACTTACTCCACAAGAAACCCAAGAGAACACAAGCAGAAAAGGTACAGAGATGGAGAGCACCTCATCTACCACAGCTGAGGAAGTCGCAGCTTACAGCTGAGGCTTACACTGCTTACACAGCAAGTAGCTGAGGGCTGCACCTCTCACACAGCACTGTAACACCTCCCTTATAAACCACACATCACTTCACCACTCACCATTTAACACTTGTGTGACCTCTGCGTCGTCATTCAGGAATTGAGCAAGTGAGGAGCTCAGCTCCTTGTCTGTGTCCTCAGTCTCATCAGAAGAAACACAGCTCTCATCCTGCTGGGACAACTCTGCTTCTTCATCTAAGAACTGTCTTGCTGCATCCTGAAGAAGAAAAGAAGCCCCAAACAAATTTTCAGCGAGACTAATTCATTACTGCTACAATTAACTGATGTCACAGGAGGCCTCCCATTAAATGCTTCCATGACTCAAAAAGGAGAATCTGTCCCAAGGGAAGGTGATGGGAAGAACACAGCGCTCAGGGAAATAAATAACAGCATAACAGTGCACAGAGAGTGCTGAAGGGTGAAGCTGGATGCAAAGTGCTGGCCAACCACATGCACTGTGCCCTGCTGCTTGCACCAGGTTAATGCTGCAAGGAGGGGGAACGGCTGTTTGTGAGGGTGGATGGTGATGGGACAAGGGGGAATGGCTTTAAAGTGAGACAGGGGAGGTTTGGGTTGGATATGAGGAGGAAGTTTTTCAGCCAGAGGGTGGTGAGGCACTGGAACAGGTTGCCCAAGGAGGCTGTGGATGCCCCATCCCTGCAGGCATCCAAGGCCAGGCTGGATGTGGCTCTGGGCAGCCTGGGCTGCTGGTTGGCGACCTGCACACAGCAGGGGGTTGGGACTGGATGAGCACTGTGGGCCTTTGCAACCCAGGCCATTCTATTACTCTATGATCCCTGACTTTCAGCATTTCCTGAGCCTTTTAATAGCCCTGCTTACACCAACTACTAAGCCTGAATGACAGGCATTGTTAGCAGCCCCTTTCCTAGCAGTATTTTGATTATTACGAACTGCACTGGAGGTCAGCACTTAAGGGAAGAACTCCCAGTGCTACTGCCAATCAGTTTCCATCAGTCTTACTTCTGAAAGACCATGAGAGGATGAACTGCAGCATGAAAAGCACTGTGCCACCAGAAACTAACAGCGTGGCCACAGTCAGGCAACAAGAATTTAGCAAGTTTTCAGAAGATCTGGAATCGCCATGTCCACCATTAGGAATGGTTAGATATGTTGATAAGTGAAAGAAGAGTGGAATTTCATGAGTATATATAAGTAACACACACGCTTTTTATGAGCCTGCTGATCTCACCAAAACAGAATCACAGAATGACAGAATGGCCCAGGTTGGAAGGGACCTCAAGGATCATGAAGCTCCAACCCCCCACCACAGGCAGGGCCACCAACCTCCACATGTCACAGCAGCCCAGGCTGCCCAGGGCCCCATCCAACCTGAAAAATGGATTTCTGGTCTCCATAATGATTTTCATTCCAAAACATAAAGAACTGATACTATAGGAAAGTCTCCATAAAGAGGACTATCTCTAAAACAAAGTGGCACCAGGGGAGGTTCAGACCAGGTATTACAAAGCATTGCTTTATGGTGAGGTGCACAGACACTGGGACAGCTTGCTGGGAAGCTGGTGCTGCACTGCCAGGCAGTGTTGGAGGGGCATCAGGACAGTGCCCTCAGAGATGTGCTGTCACTTCAGGTCAGCCCTGCAGCATAGCAGGAGCATAAGAGCCTTCCAGCCCAACAGCTCTCATTCTCAGGCCATAACTCATGTAGATACACACGGTCTAGAATGAATGACTCTTAAACCAGTGCTTGAGCTTTCTGCCATTCTCATGTTTTTTTCAATGCACACAAGTTAGATTTTTTTTCTTATTCCCACAATTTGAACACAAAGTTAAACATCATAAATTCTCTTTCAGTTTGTTTGGTAATGCGTGCTGCTCAGGTTCAGAGAGGCATTTCTCTGAACTAGATCTTGTGTTGCAAACATGTACACTTACAGATGTACATACAAGCAGGACAAAGCAAAGCAGCTAAATGCATTGCAACCTGAATGCCAGCTGCTCCAGATGTGTGCTTCAGCCCATTCAGAGGGACAAGGAATGCCTTACCTTACGTGTAACGTTGCTCCTGACCTTCTGACGTTTCACACCTCTCAGCTCTGCCTTGGTGCCCACTGCTGAGCAGCCCTTGCTGCTCCTGTTTGGGTTCTTGTGAAAATCCACGCTGTCATCACTGGACACGTCAGACTGGAGGAGAGTTTCACAAACACTTCAGTAAATAAAACTAAAGCAAGCCACCTTTCAGTCACAGTAATTCTTCAACATCTGGCATTTCCTAAGCAACACCAGATTACTGTAATTGATTACACATGTCAAAATGATGCTAATCGTTCTATGAAATGCAAAAACTGGGCCTTTCAGAATAGAACAGAAAAACACATCATTTAGGGTGAAAACTCAAATTAAATGTGGTGTGGACATTGTTTTGATTCCAAGTTTCACAGAAGGGTTATTTACTGCCTTTTACAAAGCTCAGCTCTCACACCTCCACCAATCCTCTCCCAAACAGCTACAAAGTCATCCTAGGAGACCCTGGGAGAGAACTGAAGGAAAGAAGCCCTCCAGGCTGAGGGAGCTGGGCTTGTTCAGCATGGAGAAGAGAAGGCTGCAGGGTGAGCTCATTGCAGCCTTCGGTACCTAAAGGGAGCCTACAAACAGGAGGGGAGTCAACCCTTGGAAAGGGGAGATAACTGCAGGACAAGGGGAAATGATTTGAAGCTGAGGGAGGGCAGATTGAGGTTGGATGTCAGGGGGGAGTTGTTTGCTGTGAGAGTGGTGAGGTGCTGGAACAGCTGCCCAGAGAGGCTGTGGATGCCCCGTCCCTGGAGGTGTTCAAGGCCAGGTTGGATGGGGCCCTGGGCAGCCTGGGCTGCTGTGAAATGTGGAGGTTGGTGGCCCTGCATTGTGGGGGGTTGGAGCTTCGTCATCCTTGAGGTCCCTTCCAACCCAGGCCACTCTGTGATTCTGTGAAGGAACAAATGGCATTCGAGTGTGCCTTTGGGCAGAGGGCAGAACGTCTGTTCAATAACACTTTCCTACTGAGTGCAAATGGAGTGAACGCTTACAAGTACACTCCATAAATGAGTTTACATCGCTTCCCTTCTTTAGCACACAGCACCACTCACCACGCTCAGCGGATGTCGGCGCTTCCTGACGGCACGAACTGGAGATTCAAAATCACTGTCATTCACAACCTATGCAGACAGAAAGAAGAATAATTGCAGGGAGATGTTTGTTCTGACTTTTGACGCGCTCGTCATTTTGCTCCTCTTGTCTTTTCCCTTTTAAGACTCACATCAGGAGACTTCAAAACATTCTTTCTCCTATTTTTCCTCTGGAAAACAATCTCTTCTTCACTTTCACTGCTGGTTCCTACAGAAAAAAACAGTAAGCAACAATCGTAAGGAAATGTATTGTCCAGAGTGCAATATTGCTACAACTGAACAACCAAACTCCATCTCTCTTATAAAAGCACCTCCAGAGGAGATTGCTTATTGATCTGTGCTGCAGACACTGTTCTCTTCAGCCCTTTTAATCAAAATAAATACTCTCCAGTTGAGATGTACAATAAATCCCACTTTCCTGGAGATTCTCCGAGAGGAAATGATTTCCCCAGGCAGTACAGATACAGAGAATGGGAGGAGAAAAACGGAGCAGGAGCTGGGACATGTAGAGAAGCCCTTAGAAGGTGAGTTCAAGTGTTGCACTTCTTGAGATGTTGTCATATGTACAACTTTGGATGCACTGCAACAAAACCAGAACTCACCAAACAGGCCCCTCTCTAATCATATTTCACAGAACTGCAGCCTTTCTGCTTTTTCCCAAAGGATTGCTTTTGCTGAAATAGATGAATATGATAAAGGGAGAGAATAGGATCTCCAAGCAGCAGATGAGTGGAGAAGAATGATGGCCACTTATGAGGTGCATTTAGTGCATGGAAATTATCAAAAGCACTTAAAAAATAAATAAATATTGTTCCTAAAACAGAGAAGTACAGGAAATAAAGTCAGAATAGATCCTACAAAGAGCTGATGTTTCAAATACAAGCCAGGGCATCAGCAGTAATTTTAGACAAGTCAGTTGTCATGCAACTACAAGAAAGAAACTCATCAGTAGAGCTTCTGTTCCTCAGGAACAATGATAGAAAAATGTGCAAACATGGACACAGGGAGTGGAGCACAGCGGATCTGGTGGTTATGAATAAGCTACTGAGAGGACTAAGAAATGGCTTTAAAGGCAGGTGTAGCTCACATGGCTGCACTGTTAGCATTTGTGGAGAGGTACCAGCAGTTTAATTCTGACTGCTTTCTCCAATATGTATGTATGCACTTCAGCCTCAGCTGGGTAAGCTAGAATGCAGGACATCTTACAGGAGGCTGAAGTTCTGGAAAGCCTCCTGATGGAGCCAGATTTGATAACACAACCACTACTCCCTTCTTCTTCCGTCTTAACCACCTAAGTCACAACAGCTAGCTGAAGACCACAGAGTCATAAAGGCAGGAAAAGAGCTCCAAGATCCCAAAGGCCAACCCCACTTCCACCATACCCACCGACCACATCTCCAAGGTTTTTGGAGTCTGAAAGATATTGGATTCAGCAGTATTTGCTTAAACATGAAGCTAACTGTACTCTGAATTCCCTACCTTCAGCAGGAAACACACGTGAAGTATGAAGGCTGGTGCCTGCCAGGTGTTCAGTCCTTCCTCCAGTGGAATCAAGCGCATCCAAGGCTGAGCTCCCAAAGCTCTTTCTCTGTGAGTTTACATTGACTTTATCTTTAGGATGAACCTCTGGAATTTCCTCCCTGACAGCAGAGAACATGTTCTTACGAATCCTTCTGGTAGCTTCAGCACTGCTAACCTTCCTGCCCGTTGGGGTAGAAGGTGAAGGAGGTGAGGCTCTCTGTGACCCACATCCCGTCCTGCCCCCCGACGTCCCCCCAGGCACTGCTGTGTCCCTCACGTTTCTGCTCTGCAGGGGCAGTGGTGTGGAAATGTTTCTTCCCTCTAGATCTTTGCAATCCCATTTTGGTGATGTTTGAATCCTGCAGCCATCGTTCAGAGGATGTTTATTGGCGGCGAGTTGCACGTCCGCACGACTCCCCGAGGCACTGCTTAATCTGGGGGTATTAACGGCATCCATGTCTTCTTCAAAGATTTCCTTCTCACACTCTTCAATGGAAAACCCCAGATCGAAGTTAACAGAAAACAGTTCCTGGGAACAGTCACACAGGTCACTGGTGTGCAGGACCTGCTCAGCCGCACTGCCGTGGCCCTGTTCTCCCCTGGGTGCCATTTCCCCCCGTGCTGCCCCATCACTGCAGGCTGTGTCCCCACGTGGGCAGCCCGGCCCTGAGGGCAGCAGCTGGGAGTCTGGCCCTGCAGTTGGCCCAGCAGTCTGCCTGCCTGAACCCGACCTGAGCAAAGGTTCCACGTCCACGGGTGTCGTTTCATCATTTGCTTCGTAGATGTGTTCATCCTCAAACAAATGCGCACTCTTCTCCTCATCTGTAGTCACATTTTTCTTGTCTTTTTCTAAATCTCCATCTCCTTGAACAAAGTGTTTATTTGAAGGGTTATTTGTGTGATTTGCTGTCAATCCCTCCTTGCCCAACAGACTGTGGAAGCTGCCACCCCACAGAAGCCTCTCCTCGGCTCCACCAGCAGCTGGTGGTGAAGATGAGGCAGGTTTTGAAATGCAGGTATTTACAGAAGCACTCAGGTCAACAGTGACCTCCAGCTCTGGACTTTCGGCAGGCAGCAATGAGTGACTGACTTCTAAGGAAAAGTCTTTGTCCAGCAGTTGCCTTGAATAACTCCTGCAAGACACCTTTGGAAGAGGGCACAGTGTTTCCTCATGTCTCAGCAGTTTTTCAAAATCTTCAAGTTTACTGAGAGGAGGAGGAGAATGTGCTAACAGCCTCCTCACACAGGAAAATGCTTCTTCTGGCCTAGAAAGCTCTTCAGAGGAGCTCACAAGCACAAATGAATCCACGTGTGATTCTGGGAGATAAAATAAGTCAGAGGACACAGATTTCTCAGCTGTGAAGCTGCTGTAACCCAAATCTGTGTGGTTCAACCCCACTGAACTGCAGTGCTTATCTAACAACCTGAGATCCTTCGCTGCTGCACTTTCACGAGTCACAGTACTTTCACCTTCATCACATAAGTCATTAAATTCATTTAAGTCAAATGTCACCTTCTCTATTTCCTCCTCCTTTTGGCTGCCCTGCTCAGCACTCTCAACCAGAGTGAGCCTTTTTGCTGAGCAAGGCTCTGAAGCATCGGTATCTGTGGGCAACTCGGGCTCTTCCAAATCCAGTCCAGGAGTTCTTCTGGGAGTCTTTATGTTTGTTGTTTTAAATATAGAAAAGAATTCTCTCTCATTATCATTTATATCAGGTACAAACGTTTTTTTTGTGTGTGCCGTGTCTCTTTTTGATGAGTGAGTCTTCAGAGCAAACGTGGAACTGGTTGTGGAAAGACGACTTTTATTCCTCTGAACATGGACGTCTTCAATCCGTAGGTGAGGCTGAAGCTCCAGTTCATAGCTGCAATCTCCCTAGTGGAAAACACAGTGTAATATTTACCATAAATGCAAAAAGGCCTGTGAGGATTTGTCATGAGAATATTTAAAACAAGTGAAAAAAATAACCTAAGGGTTACGAGAAAGGTAAAAAAAAAAAAAAAAGAGGAAATGCTTTGCATTTAAGGTCACAGCTTTCAAAGAAAATGCTTCGCTGCAAATCCATGCTTGAGTAGTCTGGATGTTTTAGAAGGACAGAAAATACCGTGCACAAATGGCACTACACAGAGCTGAGTGCACGGCACTCACTGCTGGGATGCACCTATGCAGCTCTCAGAACATAACAACAAACAGCTTCACTTTACCACCAAAGGTGCAATGCTCCTCAGCATAACACTAACAGCGAATTTAGAAAGGTGGAGGGAGCACAAGAAAGCCTTATTCAAGGAACACCAGAGCCTGCAGTTCTCTGTTCTCGTGGTACTGCTGTTCATAACTTGGCTACTGCATCAATGGCACATTAAGAATGTCTCACTTCTATACTCTGGACTTTGCTTTTCATAAATGCACTGAGCCAGGCAACCAACTAAGTCTTTAGAAACACAGCTGAAGAAAGCCCAGCAGCTTTGGCATAGCTCCCAGCTCCCAGTACCCACAGGAGGACAGCCTGGATTGGAAAGCTGCTTCTTACTGTGCTTCTCCCTCTCTTTTAAATTAAGATTGCAAAGTAAAGGCACTCAATCTCTAACAGGAAGCGTAAAGGCCAAAGGAGGCTCTGATAGCAATGGTTTCAAACACACTTTCAAAGTATTAAATAGAAGTTTTAAACTTGCTTCAGTACCAATTACTTTTTAATGGAGGAGTAATATCTAAAGACAAGGTATATTTATTTTCTAGCAGCTCAGTCAGAAGGATCCCTAGGCTCCTTGATCTTGCAATAAAACAAAGTACCTTTATACTGGATGAGAAAATGACGTATGATGTTACATGCTTTCTACACAATTAACAGTCTCCAAAAGTCTTCTCAGACATAAGTAGGAAAAAAATAAGGTCCTTGCAATCTTAAATTCCTGCACGCTCCTCACTGTCCCAAGAGAACATTATTAGAGAAGTTCTGCTTCAGCTTGTGCTGGCCACCACTCAAACTCCAACATCTTCCCTTTGCATCCCTTACCCTTCTGCCTTTCACTAACTCCTCACAAGCCAGACCCTTCACTTCCCCCATATGTACCCAAGCAGTGCTCAGGCTCTTCTCACATGGACACAACCCCTGGGCTTCACTCACAGAGAACACGACTCTCATTTCATCAACTGGTCTCTGCATAATGGAGCTGTTCTAAGAGATGACATCATGACACCAACATCACAGGACCATCCGGTCATCTCTTCCTAAGACAGGGGAGAAATTGGACTTGTTGGTTTTGAAGGCCTTTTCCAACATAACAGAGTCTATGCTTCTACAAAACGACACAGCCAGAGCTTCCACAGCCAGCATGCCTGCAGCTGCTGCCAGACTCCTTGTAGGAGTCCATCATGGAAAATGAGGCTGAAGAATGCTCTGAAAAACATTCCATCTATCCCACTGCACAAGGCCAAAGTCATACCTACATTTACTGCTGCCTGCTTTCTCCAAGAATGTTCCTAAGGACTGCCCAGGGCTGAGATTCCAGGCTGTCTTCCATGCCTTTGAAAACAGCTTCCACCCCAACACAGCTTTGGATACTCCTGGCTGCAGTAGATAAAGCAAACCATCCAGCATTAAGAGCAATGGTTCACTGTCAAACTATTAATACTAAAACGATAATAAATATTTATCATTTTAGATTTTAATACTAACTTCACAAGCAGGCCACAGAAAGGATCATAAGCAGGATGGATAATGAAGAATCAGTGCACAGGCTGTTTTGAGGGCAGGGGCACAGCTGGCTACAAATCCTGTTTACTGCAGTGACATCTGTGTCCCAGTGATGAAGTACGTGGTTTCCATAAGGTCAGAACAGCAGAACAGAAGATCAGGGTGAAGGGACTCCATTGCTGGGGATTCAATGCTAGAGGGCCATGAAATGCCCACTCCATTCATCACAACAAAAGATGGCACTCGGTTGCCACACGCTCACTGCCTGTGTTTATCCTATCTGGTATAGATAAGCATTTAAAAGCCAGGATTCCTCACGAAGAGCATGAAAAGGAGATCCCTGGACTATACACTTTGACTTGTAAGAAGTCTTACTGCCAAAGCAGTAAAGAAAACAGTGAGTACAGAAAGGGGTAAGCTCCAAATGATTGCTTTCAGCCAGAACAGACAGACAAGATATGGAAGTTTTCATGTATTAACAAAGAAGAGCAGTAGCAAACAACAGACAACAAAACCTGGTCAAACTATCTTTATATATGTCCTCAGAGATTACGAGTTTGGCTGCCAAGGTAACAGTGCTGACAATGATATGTTGAGATCTGTGTAAGTAATGACTGAATGTGCACACAGCTTTGATTAAAGTATCCAAGCATTGTAGGAATACAACAGATATAACACGGATTAAAGACTGATTAGCTGCCAAACCATTAAGTGTTATTGAAACAGAAGCAGGCGATGCTCCTTTCCACCCAGAAAACGTGCAAGAGCTGCAGCTCAGCCCATTGCAGACCCTACACATCTCACATTTTTAAAGCAACCCAAAGTAGCACACAACTCAATTAGCTAAACCTGCAGGAAAAGATGAGGGCTCTAAGTAGGGAAAATCGTAATTCAAACTGCAACTGGATCAGAGGTAAACCAATTAAGAGCAACTCAGAAAAAGCATATAGCAGAGGTGCTGTGTGTCAGAGCAACAGAAGACCAATACAGCATCCAGGGCAAACGCAGACACTGATTTCAGGCTTACATGCAGTTATGCAATTGTTCCAGTTCAGCTTAGTTCCACTTGGTCATTTGAATACTTTCTCCCAGAAAGCCTAATTAATGTTGATGGAGTGAAAGGGCAGAGTTAAATTTCTCACCTGGTAGCCTGGATATGTAGAACCTGTAGTACACTGAATGTTCTGAGCACAACCAACCCAGCACCAACTGAGCAGTGCTCTGTTGGCAGGTCATGCATGACACGGAAATTGGCACCTTGCTCATTTTGCTGTACAAAACCAGTGACCTCGCTTAGAACTACTGATTCACCACAGGAAACAACAGGCTTCCCAATGTACAAAATTAAAAGGACAAAAAGGAGATGTAGATATTTAAACATTCTGAAGGTTTTAATATCTTATGTCTATGCATCTTCTGGCATTTAAACATAAATATATTGCTAATGTCAAAGCTGAAATTAGCCTCTCCCTCCTCTTAAGCCACTTTCTGTGCATTTTCTAATGAGACTGACTGACATCTGCCCAAATCTCAGTGAATTTGCTATCTAGAAAAGAAAGATAAGTCTGTCAGCAGATAGGATATAGATTTAACAACTATAACTTCTTTAATTGAAAGTTTGATTAAAACTGTGGCAAAAGCAGCACAAACAACTGGCATTAACATCTTTCCTGATGCCAGACAGTAAAACCTATTTTCAAATTGCTTTGAGCTAGATCTAGAGACGAAAGGCTTCTGAACTTGTAACTTCCACCCTGAGTGTTGAATCCTGTGGAGTGAACGCTGCCAATGTATGCAGTCACTCAGGTGCATTTTCTGGTCAACTTAGGTTTCAGCTTGAATATTAGTAATAATTACAGCAACAAGGCTGGTGGTTTTCACACAGTACCTTTCATGAGCAGGTAGAACAGACATCAATGAGCATGTTCCATCCATGTGAATGACAAAAGTATGTATTTATCTCCATAGGGACCTCTAGGTCCTCTAGGGATCTCTAGGATCTCCGGGCCCAGCCCCAACCCGTCCCACAGTGCCCAGTGACCTCAGTGCCACATCCCCACGGTTCTGGAACACCTCCAGGGATGGTGACCCCCAACTCCCTGGGCAGCTGTGCCACAGCATCACTGCTCTTTTGGAGAAGAAATGTTTCCCAGTATCCAACCTGAGCCCCCCCTGGCACTACTTGAGGCCATCCCTCAGCTGCTCCCCATAAGCTTTGTGCTCCAGACCCCTCGCAGCTCTGTTGCCCTTCTTTGGACACACTTTAGAAGACTTCTGGATAACAGAGGAATCAGTTTCTCCTTCAGCAACTTTCGTGCCTACTAGAAAAGCTTCTCCAGATGCTCTGCAGGAAGAAATTCTGTCAAAAACATTTTGGGGAAGTTCAAGTTCGTTATACACAGCCAGAGACCCTTAAAATTACCCGTAGTTAATTCATCGCAGAAGTCTAATAACATAAAGACCACTTCACCCTGCAGCAGCTGTGCTCCTTCTCTTGCTGACACCAAATCATCACAGATGAATCTAGCAGTTCTAACACTGCCATGGTTGCAGGCAGCTTCTTTGGAACCAATCCACCACCAACTCCCTCTCTTACTGTCCCCACAAACACGTCCTCACACCCAAGCCACTGCCATGTCCCACAGCTCCAGCCCCTGCTGATCGGGGTGGCTGGGAATTCCTGACAGGGCACCATCTGCTCCCCTTCAGTGGCAGCTGGCTGCTGTTCATTTATCTGCTTATACTAATTTTACTGACACATCGGTTTGAGAGAGCATCAGGCTACGCAGCAAACACACAATAAGAGCATTAAAAACATACTTAAAAAGATTTATTAGCAAAATCAGGCTTCTGCACCCTACCAGTCTTGGATAGGTGTCAGAGGCAGAGTGGATATTTCAGAACAACAGAAGTGTCAGTAGCACAGACTGCTCTGTTATTTGACATCACAGACAGGTTATTACAGTTGACATTTGCCCTGTGACTTTCTCAGCCTGGGATGTCCCTGTGCTAGGTAGGGTAGAAGCACACAGGGAGCCATGGCTCGGTGGGCACGCTGGTGACAGGTTTGGACTTGGTGATCACAGTGCTCTTCTCCAACCTTAACCAATCTGTGATTCTATGATTCTGTAACTTGAACACCATTATTTAATTCCTATGGAAATACAGAGAGCAAACTCAT